CTTTGAAGATGGCTTCCTTGAAGGATGCCCGGGCTGTAATTGAGAAAGGTGAATGTGCTAACTGGGGCAGGCTCCCTGATTTTACCCCTAAAATTGACAAATTTGGACTGGGTTTCACTGTAGAGGCTCAAAGGGCTGTGCGCAAAGCTAGGATCGGAAGACCTCCCGTGCTCATCACCAACCCGGGAGTGAATGTTATTGAGAGTGATACGGAGGAATCAGAGTTTGACAGCTGGATTTACCCGACGACCGATGGTGGACTGACTAATTGGACTGCAAAAGATCACATACCTGTTACTTTTGTTACGCAGTAATGAATTCCTTTGTTTCTTTAATTTGTAATGAAAAATAAGTTGAAACTTTATGGCCCGGTGTCTTACCCGGGACACCGTTGGCTTCATTTGTGAGGGCTTATTAACTGTCATTTCCATATATCATGAATAAAGACATTGGACATTTTTCGCATTTTAAATCTTGTGCTCCCTTTCCTTCTTTCTTTCTTTATATATTGCAAAACAGCTGTATTTACACACACTCACCCATACAGGTTCCAATCCACTCTGGATCTCACTGGTAACGACTCTGCTACTGCCAGTTATGACTTCGAAAATTCGATAAACTTCGCCGAAGATGAAGGTGAAGATGATTGCGAAGTGCCTGGTGAGCTTGCAAGACTGTTACTCCAGGAAGAGAGGGCCATTCAGCCACATGAAGAGCCAGTGGAAACGGTGAATCTGGGTACTGAGACAGACAGAAAGGAAGTTAAGATTGGTGCTAATCTAGAGCTCAGCGTGAAACAACGGTTAGGTCAAATGTTGCATGATTATGTGGAAATCTTCGTCTGGTCCTACGAAGACATGCCTGGGTTGGATGCCGACATTGTGGTCTATCACTTGCCTACCAAGGAAGACTGCCCTCCGGTTAAGAAAAAGGTCCGCCGTATGTGTCCAGAGATGTCCGAGAAGATCAAAGCTGAGGTTATGAAATAATTCGATGCCGGGTTTATAGCAGTGACTTCTTACCCTCAGTGGGTTGCCAACGTGGTTCTGATACCGAAGAAAGATGGTAAGGTCAGAATGTGTGTCGATTACATGGATTTGAACAGGGCCAGCCCCAAGGATGACTTCCCCCTACCTCACATAGACGTTCTGGTTGACAATACTGCTCAGCACAAGGTGTTCTCTTTCATGGATGGTTTTTTAGGGTACAATCAGATCAAGATGGCTCCGGAAGACATGGAAAAGACTACCTTCGTTACTCAGTGGGGCACCTTCTGCTACAAGGTCATGCCATTCGGGTTGAAAAATGCTGGGGAAACATACCAACGTGCCATGGTTGCTTTATTTCATGACATGATCCATCATGAGATTGAAGTGTATGTCGACGACATGATTGCAAGGTTTCAAACTGAGGAGGAACACCTTGACCATTTACAAAAGCTGTTTGACCGTCTGAAATTATACAAGCTAAGGTTGAACCCAAACAAGTGCACCTTTGGGGTAAGATCTGGAAAGTTGCTAGGCTTCGTTGTGAGTGACAAGGGTATTCAAGTGGACCCTGCCAAGGTTAAGGCCATACAAGAGATGCCAGTTCCTAAGACAGAGAAAGAGGTCAGAGGCTTTCTAGGACGACTGAACTACATTGCCCGATTCATCTCGCACCTAACTGCTACTTGTGAACCAATCTTCAAGCTGTTGAAGAAAGATCAAGTAGTACGTTGGAATGATGAATGTCAGGCCGCTTTTGACAGAATCAAAGAGTATCTCCAAGAACCACCCATTCTTATGCCACCGGTTGAAGGGAGACCTCTAATACCATACTTGACAGTACTTGACAGCTCAATGGGGTGTGTGCTGGGGCAGCATGACGAGTCTGGCCAAAAAGAGCACGCCATTTATTACATTAGCAAAAAGTTTACCGACTGTGAGACCCGATACTCACTGCTCGAGAAAACTTGTTGCGCTTTGGTATGGGCTGCTCGCTGGCTGAGACAGTATATGCTGACTCACACTACTCTGTTGATTTCAAAGATGGATCCGATAAAGTACATATTTGAAAAGCCTGCTCTGTCTGGGAGAATAGCAAGATGGCAAATGATCTTGGCAGAATATGACATCCAGTACACGACTCAGAAAGCCATCAAGGGAAGTGTGTTGGCAGATCATTTGGCACACCAGGCAGTAGATGACTATCAGTCAATGAACTTTGAGTTTCCAGACGAGAGCATCATGATAGTGACTGATTGTGAAGTACTTGGACTGGATGAAGGACCTGAGGAAGCATCCCGATGGACTATGCACTTAGACGGAGCCTCCAACGCTTTGGGTAACGGCATCAGCGCTGTAATCATATCCCCTCAAGGCACTCATACTCCACTTACTTCCCGGCTATGTTTCAACTGCACCAACAACATGGCGGAGTATGAGGCGTGTATCATGGGTCTTCAAGCTGCGATCACTACAAGAAAATTAGTGTTTAACGACACAAAAATTGCGACAGTTATGTGATAACTGTCTTAATTGACATATAGAGACAGTGTTTACGACAGTTGACACCAACCGTCCCTAATATTTATTTTGCGACGGTATATTTAACCATCATAATATTATTATTACGACGGTAAAACAACCGTCGGCCCCCATTTAACACTTTTAACATTGATTTTTCACCAACAACTAGTCACGACGGTAAAATTAACCGTCCTAAAAGGCATATCACGACGGTAAAGCACCCGTCGCACCCTTAAACCTTTCACGACGGTAAAATTATCCGTCCTAAAATTCATTTCATGACGGTAAAACAACTGTCGCACCCAAAACCTTTAAAAATTCTCATGGGCACGACGGTAAAACACCCGTCGCCGTAAAAAAGTTAAAAAAAGCTGAGTTGTACCGCAATTTGATTTTCCGGGCATACGAGAAAAGAGAACTATGCCAATCCCCAATCACCAACTGAAAGAGAAACAAAACTTCCCTATTCTCTAAAGCTTGCCACCCCGTGGAAGGTCATCTAATGTTGTGGCGGCCTTGAGCTCTTCTTCTTTCCGGTGGCCGGGTTAGCACCCCTCTAAGCCCCTGTACCCGAAATAGATGCGGTTTAGCAGGGGCTTTCCAGGTATTTCCTGGGGTTTTCCATCCGGGCTTTAATGCGGCTAGAGACGGATCCAACGAATAGCTAAGGTTCGTTGACGATCCCTGGCTACAGCTTTGGAGGTTGTTGAACACTGTCACTAAAACATGGAGAATCCTGAAAATCATCTCAATAATGACGATATCACTGAAAAGTAAGCTTTATTTTCATCACAATACATAATTAGGTCAACCAATTAGAACTCTGTAAGATTAGGTTACGTCATTCAACATTCAATTTATTTATTTATCAATCTGTTTTCAGAGAAGCATCTCAGCTTGCTGCGTTGTTGAAAGAAATGAAGGAAGGTCTTGATAATGTTAACCGCAAAATTCAAACTTTAACTGCCAAGGTCGGAATGCGCTTTTTTTTTTTTGGACTTTTGGTTCTGTTATTGGTGAGTTTCATTATTTGTGTGTCTCTTATATCAGGTGAAAGCTCAGAGTTCTACGGCAGATGGATTCAGTTATCTCGAAGCTAAAAATTTGCTGCTTTTGAATTATTGTCAATCCCTTGTTTATTATCTATTGCGAAAGGCTAAGGGATATTCTATAGAAGAACATCTTGTTGTTCGAAGTATAGTTGAGATAAGATTATTTTTAGAAAAGGTATGTTTTATTCTTGTGTATCATCTTTGTATATTTGTGTTAGACTTGGTGTATCTGACATACAGTTTTTTGCTGCAGATTCGTCCAATTGATAAGAAACAGCAATACCAGATCCAGAAAGTTATTAAAGCGAGTGAAAGTGAAACAAGTAATGCCAATGAGAAGGTGCCGGCTGCATCTGATAAGAGTAAGGATGTTTCAAAGTATCGTCCAATTCCTGGCAATCTTATTAGTAAAATAGAACCAACCGCACAAGTGAGTTTATTTAATAATATCGTTGAAAATTTGAGGTGCGATAGTATGATGCAAAATATATTTGTCTTCTGTTTCTCTAACTTAATTCATTTATGTTATAGGATGATGATGGTGACGATGTGTATCGTCCTCCTAGAATTGCTCCTACTTCTATGGATATGGATAAATCTTCGAAGCAAGAAAGAAATGCCATCCGAAGAGATAGAGAAATTCTGAAACAGGCTAAGCAAAGTGATTTTATCAGAACAATGGTGAATGATATGGAGGGGAGACCTGAAGAGGTGATATAATTATTGTATTTTGGCGAAATTATTAGTGTATTTTGGGCGTGGAATCATAACAACTTAATGTGTTTATGTAATGGTTCGTGTTTGCTGCTTACTACACAGATACGAGATTTTATGGGAACTAGTAGAGAAGTGGATAAGTATGTTAGCAAAGCGGATGAGCGGTCTAGGCAAGAGGAGGAACTATTCACCCGTGTTCCTATGACGAAACAGGAGAGGAAGAAAGAGAAGCACATGAAGAAAGCAACCAATGGGTACGGGGAATGCCTGATATTTTGCCTTTATAAAAAGCATCAAATGCACGATGACACTTTTACTTATTTTTTACTCACACTTACATCTGTGTTTATTTTTTCCAGGATGCAAGGCCTAACAGAAAGTTTATTTGATGAAATCAAAGGTTTACCCTTTGAAGATGATACTGGTGAGCAAACAATGGGCTTCAAAATGGGTAGTAGAAGAAATGGGAAGCACGGGAAGCTGAAGAAGCGAAAGGCATGTCTCTTTGATTTTGATCCTTTTAAATTGTTGCATGAAAACATTAATAATAATACACTTTTTAAACATTTAATCGGTACATTTATTTCCGTTTAACTTTGGTGGATGTGGTTTGTGCTCTGTTGCATCTGAATTGCGGATAACAGACTTAATCATTTGATAATCACCTTCTAGAAACTTATTTTCATCATCATCATTTTCGAACGAATTTGTTGCGATTAAGATGCCATTAACACCGAGTCCAACTCCGACTCACAAGAAGGTGAATTTTCTTGTGACTTCACGTTCTGTTGATGCTGCTCCAATTGTGGATAGTGATAGTAACAATCTAGGGAATTTGACCACAAGAGGAAAATCGTCGAGTGCTAGAAGTATTATGCCGAAATTGAACTTTCCGTATAATAGGACTTCATCATCTGATGTTGAAAAGGCGATAAGTTTGGCTCCGGAAAGTCCTTGTGAGAAGCCTTCTGTCTCTGGATCAGGATCAGTGTCTTTGAGTAAGCTGTTTGCTCCTAAGATTTATAGAACTTCTTCGCTACCGGTTGAAGAAATCGGGCGTGTTAATAATGAGTTTGCTTTTGGTGGATGTCTTGGTGCTTCTCCATATGTAAGGCTTTTAACTTATAATATCAATTTTGAAATAGTGGTTATTTTGTCTTTTGATTAACTTGTTAAGTCCTATTTTGATGAACAGTTTAATTAAACGTGTTTGTGTGAATGAGCATGCTTTCCACTTTCTAGTCCTAATTCTTATATTCTTTAGTGGTTGCCAAATCTTGCATGTATATCCTTTGTTTTAACCAATTTGATCCTTTTGTAGAGAAGCCAGGGATCGATAGCTCGCACTCGTTCAGAGCCGGTAGATAGCAAAGAAAAAATCATAAGGAAAATGGATAAGTTTTTCCGCATTATTCCTTCCACCCCAGGTGCAAAGGAAGTTAAAGAATGGTTAAAAGCTTCTGCAGAAAAGGATACAGGTATTAAGTCTAACAATACAAAAGCTGATTGATACATTTTCATTAACTCGACTTAAAATTTTTTCATGGTTCAGAAAATGGCGGTGATGACGGTGAAGATATAGCTGAAGAGGAAGCTGTGTGTAGGATTTGTCTGATTGAGCTATGTGAAGGAGGTGAGACGCTGAAGATGGAATGCAGTTGCAAAGGTGAACTTGCATTGGCTCACCAAGAATGCGCTATCAAGTGGTTCAGTATCAGGGGTAACAAGACATGTGATGTGTGCAAGCAAGAAGTTCAGAATCTCCCTGTCACTCTCTTACGCATCCAAAATGTTCAAACTCAGAATACCGGAGCAAGGTCTCAGCAGGAAGACGACTTCAGGCATGTGCAGTTATTTTCATTTGATAAAAACTATTACTCGTATGCTTCGTTTGAGATATATGCATATCTTGAGATCTTATGGGCAACTTCTTTAATGGCATATTATTTATGAAAATATCTAAAATATGAGGCCAACCAAACTAGTTTAATTTCATGCACTATAGCATTATTGCGTAGCGAAATTTGATCAAACCGCTATTCCCACGATCTATGATCTGCTTGTATTGAAGTTGTAGATTTCAGTTTACTCTTCAGAATATTATCATGTAGTCAATTTTGTTTTTGGATTTCTGCGGTCGATACAAGTGCATTGGTTTATAAATGGAATATAGCGTTCTCTTTGTATCTTTCTTGTACTAAAAGTAATTGCTACCGGTAACACTTCAATTTGTGTGCACAATTTAACAGGGTTTGGCAGGAGTTACCTGTGCTTGTCATTGTCAGCATGCTTGCTTATTTCTGTTTCCTTGAGCAGCTTTTGGTAAGAACAAATGTCCTCTCATTTCTCTCAAAGTTACAACTCGGTATAGTGCGTGTGTGGAAAACATGAAAATCACGGTGAACAGAAGCTAGACATATCAGCTTCTCAAAATCACGGTTGAAAAAGGCCTTAAACGTGCAGCAGCGGTGGCACATTTAACTTTTTGAGCTTTTTGAGCTCAATGTTCTAGCTTTTTGAGCTCAATGTTTTAACAATTGCAACATGGAATGTCTAACACATTTAACACGGAGCATTGGCAATGTTATATGGCTGCCACTCAAATTACTATATCAAGAAACCTGAGGTATTTGTCAATTAAGCACAACAAATTCTTTATTGATCTACATGTTGTTTGGAAATGTTTTCCAATTTTACTTTTTGAATGTAAGTATAACACTCATGTTACTTTTTATAATAATTTCACTATGGTAAAAAAACTCGCATGCATTACAGATACAAGTTCACATATTTTCTGTTATGTCAAAAAACAAAGATCTGTTATGCGATTATTAACATCAATGGTTTTTTAAAAATGCCCCAACTTAACTTAATGTTTTCTTTTTTAAATTGGAAGAGTAAATATTTGTGGTGTCTTATTGTATCATACTTTTTCTTATCGTAAACGCATGCGATTGTAGAATTTAAAAAGAAATATACTTGGATCTTTGAGCTTCCTACACTTTGCTGAAAATTCAAATGCTATAACAGGGAAGTTTGTCGCCAAGACGCCTTGATACATATCCAAATTTGATTAGGTTTCTCCTTAGCGGAAAGTGAATTTTATTTTATTGGAGATTTTGTTGTAGTTGATTTTTCTGTACCTTATAACTTTTCATACAATTGGAGTTTGATTGTGAGAGTTATTCTGCCAGCCCATAATTGACAGTTAGTTTTGTAATGCAGGTACAAGAAGAAGCGTAAAATGGACAAGTAGAATTGGAAAAACATGTCCTCACAAAGACATTGACTAAGCCATCTGAGGCATATTATGATGCCAAAAACCTGCCACATGTTCTTGTGAGTACAAAAATATGTTTTGTGTGAATCTTGCAGGCTGCTAGGTATGCGTAGCTTGGACCAAATGGTAGTCAAGGAAGGATCATGGTCCTAGCATGGAAGTTTAACACAAAATCACTTAACACTAAGGACTTTCATGAATTTTGTAGAATATTGTAACATTTTTTGTAATTCTCTCAAGTTGTAGCAAACCAATGTAAATATTAAAATGAAATTTGGCCTTTGATGATATTTGAATTTTTCTTGTTTATTGGTAAAATTTGCACTTCTTTTTACCTTTGATCACATTTTTTTGATATTATTGATGATTATTTGATATTAAATGTTTTTATTGTAATTAACTTTATTATGTTGAAAAGTGATAGAAAATAAAATAAAAATACTATAAATAAAAAAATATTAAAGTAAATAATAATTTAAATATAATAGTAAAATATTATAGTAAAATAATATTATATTTAAAATTATTTTACTAAATAATAATTTAAATAAAAATATTATTTGAAATTTATAAATCAAATTACGACGGTTAAAACCGCCGCAATTTCTAACCTACGGCGGTAGAATAACCGTCGCAAACAACAACAAAAACAAAAAATAAAGTCAAATTCACGACGGTATATAACCGTCGCTATCTGTTGTGCGTGACAGTTTTTGCAACCGTCGCGAAATAGGCTGGGGACGCACGATTCTGCGACGGTACTTCTACCATCGTAGATTGTAAATTGCGACAGTTTTAACCGTCGTAATCAGCCAAAATAACCGTCCCAATCTATCATTTTTCTTGTAGTGGATTGACTTAAGGATCAAGTTTCTGAGTGTCTTCGGAGATTCCTCTCTCGTGATCAACCAGATCAAAGGCGAGTGGGATACGAAACATCCGAATCTTATTCCTTACAGAGAATGTGTGTTGACGTTGATCCCCCATTTCACAGAGATAACTTTTGAACACTTCCCAAGAGAGGAGAATCAGTTGGTGGACGCGTTGGCTACGATGTCTTCCATGTTCAAAGTCAAGTGGGACAATGAGGCTCCCCGGATCATTATCTGGAAACTGGACGAACCTGCATACTGTTGTGATCTTGAGGCTGAGGTAGTAACTGAAAAACCCTGGTATCATGAGGTGAAAAGGTACTTAGAAGCTCAAGAATACCCTGAAGGTGCATCCATCAATGATAAAAAGTTTCTGAGAAGGTTCGTAGCGAAGTTCTTCCTTAGCAACGGCATTCTGTACAAGCGAAACCATGATTCAACCTTGCTGCGCTGTGTGGATAAAACTGAAGCAGAAAGGATCATGGCGGAATTACATGAAGGTACCTTCGGAACACATTCCAGTGGGCATACCATGGCAAAGAAAATCCTCTGGGCGGGATATTTCTGGTCCACAATGGAAGCCGACTGTTACCGACACTCCCGGACATGTCACAAGTGCCAGATTTATGCAGATAAGGTGCACATTCCTCCAGTTCCTCTGAACGTCTTGACAGCACCTTGGCCTTTTGCAATGTGGGGCATTGATATGATCGGCGAGATCAGACCTACAGAATCCAACGGGCATCGCTTCATCCTGGTTGCAATTGATTACTTCACAAAGTGGGTTGAAGCAGCTTCCTACGCTACAGTAACCAAGAACGTCATGGCGCGGTTCATTCGGCACAACCTGATCTGTCGATACGGCGTCCCAGAAAGGATCATTACGGACAACGGTACCAATCTTAATAACAAGATGATCACTGAGCTCTGCCAGCAGTTCAAGATACAGCACCACAACTCTTCTCCTTACTGGCCGAAGATGAATGGGGCTGTAGAAGCGGCAAATAAGAATATCAAGAAGATTGTGCAGAAAATGACAGTGACCTATAAAGATTGGCACGAGATGTTACCGTTCGCTCTTCATGGGTACCGTACCTCAGCAAGGACGTCAACCGGGGCAACTCCTTTTTCTTTGGTCTATGGCATGGAGGCAGTCTTACTGATTGAAGTGCAGATACCCTCTCTCCGGATAATGAAGGATGCAGATCTGAGCGAAGATGATTGGATCCAGACACGACTTGATCAGCTAAATCTAATTGGCGAAAAGAGGCTCACTGCTATTTGTCCTGGTCAAACGTATCAAAAACGGATGATCAGGGCATTTAACAAGAAAGTCATACCACAAGAGTATCAAGTTGGGGATCTGGTAATCAAACGCATCATCCTTCCTCAGAGGATCCCAGGGGCAAATGGACCCCCACGTACGAAGGGCCATTTGTTGTTAAACATGTGTTCGCAGGAGGAGCCATGATCCTAACCACCATGGATGGTGACGACCTTCCTCACCCCGCCAATGCAGACATAGTAAACAGATACTACACATGATAAAAGACCCGCTAGGTTGACATACCTAGGCAAAAATTAGGGCTTCCCGGCGAACCAAAAGGGTTCGGGCAAAATGAGGGATGAAATAAAAAAAATCTGTACACCCGGCAAGTCGAAAACCTGAAAAGGCGGCTTGGGCAAAAATGGGTATCCCGATGGACTGAAAACCCGAAAGGGCAGTCCAGGCAAAAGTTAGGGATTAAAGTGTAATACTATGTCGCATTGGATCACCTTGCATCCAGAATCCGGTATCAACCTCAAGTTCAAACGACATCGATCAATCAGCTTCATCTTCAATCGAGCAACCAAGTGATGAGACGCTCGAAGATATAAAGGCGATAGCAGAGTTGGAACCCAGTGGGATTATTCTTTTCACATGGCTGTTTTTGCTTTCCCTTTTCACAAAATTGTATAAACTCTGTTGTTCGGCGACGTTCTCTTACTAGGACGTCAACCTCTTGTACATAAACGCCTATTTACAGGCAAATTCAAAAAATCAATACAAATTCACTTTTCAGACAAATTGCCATTTGTTTTTCCTTTTTCTGTTTTGTTTTGCGAAGAACGTCCAAGGCTCAATTTGTGATATATGCATTTGACACTAATTGCTAACTCATAAATATTTGCATACGAAACAAAGGATTAATTACAGGTAACATTAGAAACAGGGGCAATAATGAGTTGTCTAAGCGATCTAATTGCTCTGTCCACCAAGGTACCAAGGTAAGTTCGGCCGAAGAATGTAACCAAGATATCTTAATTCCCCAGAGAGTGAGCTAGCAAGTCAACACTCTCCCCAAGCAAAGTTATACCGTCAGCCTTAAGGAAGTTGGATTATTCCCAGCAGATCTCAACATTCCCCAGCGCAATATACAAACATTCTTAACAAGCATCCCCGTCAGTCTTGATCTAAGATTGTTCCCCGGCGGTATACGGACATTCAGTGGAGCCACTTCCCCAGTATATCTCAAAAATTTCCCCAGGAGAGTCCAGTCCAATCTGAAAAGATTCCCCCAGGAGAGTTCAATCAATCTCCCCAGTAGTAAGCTTATCCCCAGTAGATTCTGGAAGCTTATCCCCTGCAGAGCGAACGCGTCTCCCCGGTTTTATTCAAAGGTTATTTCCCCACCAGGATATAACTGGGTTATCCTCAGCCAATAACCACGGAAGGACCGTCCTCGGCGAAGTTCTTCCTATCCCCAGTGGAGTTCATCAATTCTTTCAACACAACACATCAATGGTATCCCCAGCGGAGTTATCAACATCTCGAGCAAAGTACATCTCTTTCCCCACAGAGTTCACTCCCCGCAGAGCAATTTATTTGCCAAGTTTATTCCTCAACGGAATCATCTTCTCCTACCGGTATTCTTGCAACCATCACTCCCCAGCGGAAACAAGAAGCACTATTATTCAGCATCAGCCCAGGATTTAACTTCCCGGCACCCGTCAAGGATCTACTTTCCTAGACGAAAACACATTTCATAAACACCACATCTTCATACATTATAGCATGCACATACGCATCATGAACATACAATCTCATTCATTCTGAGAACATCACGCATGTCATACATCAGGACATCGCATACAACTAACGTTTTGTCTTTTCAGGACAAAGGTTAATACAAAGATGATTACTATCAACGGTCGCAACTAAAGATCTGATTCTTGTATCTTGCCAGGGTGTATCTGTTGACGACTAATTCCATACTCAATTCCTGTATCTTGCCAGGGCACGTCTGAAGAGTTTGAGGATCCGATTCCAGTATCTTGCCAGGGTGTATCTGTTGACGACTAACATTACCAGACTCGATTCTTGTATCTTGCCAGGGCACGTTTGAAGAGTTTGAGGATCCGATTCCTGTATCTTACTAGGGTGTATCTGTTGACCACTAACATTACCAGACTCGATTCCTGTATCTCGCCAAGGCACGTCTGAAGAGTTTAAAGATTTGATTCCTGTATCTTGCCAGGGCACGTCTGAAGAGTTTGAGGATCCGATTCCTGTATCTTGCCAGGGTGTATCTGTTGACGACTAACATTACCAGACTCGATTCCTGTATCTTGCCAGGGCACGTCTGAAGAGTTTGAGGATATGATTCCTGTATCTTGCCAGGGTGTATCTGTTGACGACTAACATTACCAGACTCGATTCCTGTATCTTGCCAGGGCACGTCTGAAGAGTTCGAAGATCCGATTCCTGTATCTTGCCAGGGTGTATTTGTTGACGACTAACATTACCAGACTCGATTCCTGTATCTTGCCAGGGCACGTCTGAAGAGTTTGAGGATCCGATTCCTGTATCTTTCCAGGGTGTATCTGTTGACGACTAACATTACCAGACTCGATTCCTGTATCTTGCCAGGGCACGTCTGAAGAGTTCGAAGATCCGATTCCTGTAT